AGCGCCGCATGCGAAGGGGAAATACCTGATGACGACGTCTGGCGCCGCGACCAATCTCTTCACCGCCTCCAAGTTCCCCATGTCCACAGGTGTCGCGTTCGCGTACGGCGGAATCAGCCGCTCGGTATCCGCCAGAACATTGCTCGCTATCCGCACTATAAGGTCAACTCGCGCGAAACCCGCCAAACAAGTCTATAACTACTTACCAACAAACAGCTGCACGTCCGACCGGCCGCAAAGCCCCTGCATGGCCACCATCGTGACCGACGGCAGATGCGCGTCGCGTATTGCGACAGGAACTCCAAGCCGCCCTAACGAACCCCCACTGTGAGCGAGGAGGACGTACAATAAGACGGACGAACAAGACGTACGTTGACATCACAGCTGATGTCCCCTACGCAGGCGAACCGGCCCTCACCCAGCGCCCGCGCGATCTCGAGCGTCGTCGTCAGCTGCTCGTTCGTCATCACGCGGGGGTACGCCGGAGCCCACCGTGCGCCATGCAGGAGGAGGGAAAGGTACGGAGCGACCTTCGCGTAGAACTCGGATACATATTGGTCCGGGTGGGCGTAGTAGTCCGGGTGGTCGAACGCGCGGCCGTCCTTCCGCAAGAAGTAGCCTTTGGAAGTAGCCTTTGGAAAGCGCGTGGACTACGTAGATCTGCCCAAGCGCCATGTCAGCGGGGGTCAAGCTGACGAGATGGCCAAGCCCACCTTGCGCAGGTCCGTGTCTGCAGGATATGCGGGCAGAATTCAGGAACGGTAGGCCTACGAGAATCAAGCAACCTTACTGGGATCTGTCACGACGCTGCGCAACTGGTCTACGCCGATATGGTGAATGGGAAGGTCCTGCAGCAAGTCCAGACAGCCCTGCGCGACGTCCCCAGTCCTGCACTCCCGTGAGTTACCGACCTGGAAAGTAGCTATGAAGCGACCTGCTCGGAGCTCACCCAGTGATCCCAATCACCAAAGGCCCCAAGCTCTTGGATGTCCCGTCACTTGCGATCTGCGCTCCGACCACGTCCCGGAGTGTCTTACGGATAGACGCTAATGATGGGTGGGTGTGTGGTTTCGGGGTTCACTGACGTCACAACGGCAAGTCTAGTGTCAAGCTCTGCGCCGGGTCGATGCGACAACACGCTCACCAGCAATGGGCTCGCCACTCCAAGCCCGAGATGGGCGTGAGCCATGACGACTAGCGAGTCGAGTGCGTCAGCAACTGCATAGAGGGGGCGGGCGCTTTAGCAGGCCGCACTCAGATAGGCGAAGAACGGCAGAAATGCTTCACTGTTCAGTGAGCTGCGGGCTCAAGGAGCTACCGAGTTTTCCGCCATCTCCGAAAAGGCTGAGCGGGAGTGGGAGCGTCCAGACACCGTGCGCGGTCGCATTTAGCACACGCTGAGCAACGAAGACTTCACTCACCGCCACCGGCAAACCACCCGAAACCAACAGTCCGCTTCCCGTCCTCTCCTGTCAGTAGCTCATAGTCGATGAGCCTGGGAAGCAATGCGTCTCCCAGCACCGCGTGCGGGTTCTCGGATGCGAGGTGCTTGCCGAGCAGCTCCATATTATATAGTTGTCCTTTGACCATATGCGAGAGACCATGACATGGGTGCGGGACACAAGGCTGGATGGGGTGAACCAGGCGCGGACAGAGGGTCTATCAAGACCTCAGGCAGAGGGATCTCCTTGAGGCCCACGACGACATGCACGGGCTGGAGGTTGGAATGCAGCCTCGCGCGCCAGCCTACATGACGTTCCGAGCATATACGCAGGAATATAGCAGCGGGGGCAGCGTCAGGGAATCTGAGTTCGGCAAAACGTTGAGCCGAAACGCACCCTTATGAAGTCATTGGCGATGAACACCCGTCTCTCGCAGGGCTGCACAAAGGCCTCGACGCCGCCCTCGTGTACGAGCTCATGGACGGCATCGGGGGTAGGGAGGGCATCTTCTCTGTACGCCATGGCTGCTTATGGGAATAGTAGGAGATAGGCCGAAGTCTTGCGAAACCGAGGCGTGAGTACCCATTCTCCGAGGATGGTCCTGACACGTTCCTGGATGGGATGGAGAGGTTGGGGTGTCGATCAAACGCAGCGATGGGGACGGTGTTGGCCTGGAGCATGGTGTCATCCACAGGATCTGCGGGAAGCCAACGACGACGAGTCGCTCAGTGCTGCGTGAGCGCGACCACGAGATGCGTCAATAATCCGGGGTCTCTGAACCGTTCCATCGCCTGTGAATCTGCTCCGAGGTGTCTCAAGGAGTATGTAGGGGATCCGATAAGCCTATCGCATCTGATGCGGCATTTTGGCGAATAGGACTCACCCAGTGGACGTACAGGATGTCGGTTTGGACGGGGGGATCACGAAGGAGTTCGTGAGTGGGCCAACGTTCCATGAGCTCTGATGCAAAGCGACTGGCCGCCCGGACGACTCCGGGAGAGGTCTCCTCCGAGTCTCTGATCCTGACAAAGATGAAGGAGATCGCGCAGTCTTACCTCAGCTCCCTAGTCACCTCCGCCGTGATCAGGATCCCCGCGCAATCCAACCTGTCCTAACGGCAGGCTACCAAGGATGCGGGCACTATGGCGGGGCTGAAGGTGCTCCGTGTCCCCAGCGAAGAAGTCCGCAAGGCGCGGCTCCTCCCCTACTCTCGGCCACCTCGCGCATTTGCCTGTTGCCGTACCTCCTGATCCATCCCTAGCGAGGCGTTTTGGAGTATACAATGCGCGACACCGGAGAAGGCTGCATAGCACAGGGTACAGCGTGTTGGATGTACGAGGTCGACGAGCGAGCGCTTATCATCTGTATCATCTGTATTCGGTACATCTAAGAGCGGATGCATCCGTCGAAGGTTACCCCAACCATACGGATGCATCCGTTATACTGAGAA